AAAACGATAACTTCGAACGATTCTCAACTGTATTCCTTGGCATAACTATTGATGCCAAACTGCAATGGGGCCCCCATATTAATAGACTGGCGAGTAGACTTAGCTCAGCAGCTTTCGCGGTCAAAAAAATAAGACAGTTAACTGATGTAGATACGGCTCGCTTGGTATATTTTAGTTATTTTCACAGTATAATGTCTTATGGCATTCTGCTTTGGGGTAACGCCGCCGACATTAATACAATCTTTATCTTACAAAAGAGTGCAGTTTCGAGTGCAATTCGTGCAGTTTACAATATGGGCCCTAAAGAATCGTTAAGAAACTTGTTTAAAGAGATAAAGGTATTGACTGTTGCTGCTCGATACATTTTTGAAAATGTTTTGTATGTCCATAAAAATAAGGATACATTTTTAAGACATAATAATGTTCATGATATAAATACTAGGAACAAAAATAAATTGATCCTACCCACAAGTAGACTGCGTAAAATAAGTAAATCTTTTATGGGACAATGTATACGTTACTACAACAAAATTCCAGAAAACGTTCAAAATGCATCAATAGGTAAATTTAAAAAAATAGTAAAAGAACGTTTGTGTGTTAAAGGCTACTATAATATTAATGATTATTTAAATGATAACACACTCTGGTAATGAATTGATCGCTCCAGGCTCTTTCAATCGGAGTTCTTATATTGTATTTTTAATGAATTTATGTCAAACTGCTTATTTAAAAAAAAAAGCCCGCTGAGTTTCTTTCGCCGGTTCTTCTCAGCACAGTGGCTTTCTTTTCCGAACCGGTGGTAGTGTTTTGACTATCAATAAGTGAGTGTAATGCTCCTATGTTGAATAAAGACATTTGATTTTGATTTTGATTTTGAATCTTTTCGTACTTTTTCTTAGAGTTTTAATATAATTTCTCATTTAATTTTATTAGAGTACTTTAATTATTTTTTTCAATTAACTTCTCAGTATAAGTATTTTTCCTTTATTTAATGATAACGGGGCGATTTGTAGATAGAAAATAGAAAAAAAAATCCTTATGATTTTGTAACAAAAGTAAGACATTGCAAAAGAAATTAAAATCCTGCGCATGTCTCACCGCTTTGCATCACTTTCCTCGTTTTCGGTTCTGAAGCACTACTTTGACGTTTCTAAATGAAAGTAACCGCAAAAGTTAAACAATGCAACGCAAGTGAACCAATTTAATGAGCTTTCACGTAAAAATACTAACTAACAAAAGATTTACCGACATTGCTTCTTGACTTTTATTTTCCAGTTATTGGTCACCCGAGTACTGTCAAAGCAAATGTAAGCAAATAAGTGTAATAATTTATTATAATGTTATTATTGTCAAGAAAATCATAATTATATTTTATGTGAGAAGGCAAGCGAGCTGGCAGTTCATCTAATATTAAGTGATAACCGCCATCCCTTAACATTTGCAACACCTGTTGGGTTGCAGATGCGTTCCGAACTATTAAAAGAGATTTGAGAAAGCCGCCTTTCAGGTCTTTGAATGCTCGGTATGTGATAAACTACATAGATTACGTGAAGTTCGAGAGTTCGAGAGTATACGTACTGTCGATGCTGGATTTTTAAACCAGCACCAGCAATGAATAGCTAAAAGACGAGGCTGCCTTTTAATGTGAAAAGATCTCAAGCGAGCAGATAGTTCACCTGATGTTAAATGAGTACCGTCGCGCATGAACATCTACAACACCCGAAGGCTTGCTAATGCATTTACAAACTCTAAAAATGTGGGCCCCAGTTACCTGACTCAGCAGACGAAACGAGAAAGCTTAATACTTCTACTTCACGCCCGTCTTCTGTTCTTCCGTTGTACTTACCCGGACGGATATTTTTTTAATGTGAAAAGTTGCTAAGCTAGCAGACGGTTCACCTGATGTTAAGTGAATACTGCTACAACCGAGGGTTCCAGATGCGTTGACAACCTTTTGAAAATTGGGCTCCGGCCACCTCACTCGCCAGACGAAACGCGAAAGAAAAGGGTCGTGGTACTTACCCGGACGAGCTTGCCCATTCGTGCAACAGCCGAGGCTGCTGCGTGGCCCTACCACTTGGCCAATCGTGCAACAGCGAACACTATCGCCTGGTCCGACCACTGTAAAAACGGCGTACGTAATGTCTAGAGCTAGACAGACACTACTGTATCACATAGGTGACAGCGCTCTCCGTTTGCTTTTCCAACTAGATATTCGATGACGTGCCACTAAGTTGTAAAGCGGCCGAGGCGAAAGCGCCACTGGCGATCGCTATCTGTAAATTGCTTTGTACAGACCGATAAAATAACTCGTCGCGTCAGCACATAGATGCCTTGCGCGGATTGCACGAGTGGACCGTAGTGAAAACCCAATTGCCCCCCCCCCCCCCCCCCCCCCCCCCCCCATTTCGTATAATTTCGTCTCGTGTTAAAACTGCCCAGTTTCTAGGCGCAAGTTGTTAATTAGATTTGAATTTTCATTATCTTAAGATAGGAAAGTTTTAAGGGTAAATTCTAATTAATTTATTTTCAAAACCTTACATAATAATTAAAGGTGCTTGATATAATACAAGTGCGGCAATCTGCTGACAAGACAGAGGGGAAACTACTTTTTAACCATATTAAACTATAAACCATATTAAACTATAAATCACTACAAATTAACTTAACAATGCAATCTTTTGAACTCACTCAGAGAACACAAGAATAGATCGACATCCCTATCAATAGAATTTAGAGTGCGCAGCGAACGCGTCTACGTCAATCCACAAAATGCCATAAAAATTTAAAGACTTGCCCATTTATGGCAACTTCTATCTCCTGCCTCCTCCTAGATGTGGTCGGTACAACATGAATCATGTTGCTAGTTGTATTGGCAAGATTTTTTACGACCTGCCCTACCTGCTACCCTCTGTCTACCCTATTTGAGAAAACACATAGATCAACAGTCACACAAATACTTATGCCATGTGCCGGCGCCAAAGCCAATATCTTAGCAACTGCGAGGCCAAGACACTGAATTTGTATCGAAACTATCAAGGATAAAGAATATAACGTTTACTATTTTACAATTTTCAGTTTCAAATGTGTTTCTGCCAACTTCTATTATATCATTGTGCCAACAGTAATATTTTTTTCATTTTATTACGTTTAATTTTATTTGATTATATTAAACCAGCTTTTCGCCCGCGGCTGCACTTGCGTTGAGGCCGTTAAATAAATACCTTTCTTTAAAAAAAAAATCCAATTAAAAAATAGCCTACATCCTTTCTCAGGCTATCTGCGTACCAAATTTCATTTAAATCGGCTCAGTGGTTTTGGCGTGAAAGCGAGACGGACAGACAGAGTTACTTTCGCACTTATAATATTAGTATGGATTAATTTTCAGTTCACGCACACTTTGTTGTCTCAACGCCGGCAAAAAAAATATTTTTATAAAATATTTGTAGTCTCCTTGTTCGGGCTAAGTAACACGATGCCAACAAATTTGAAATATAAAGACAGTGTAACAATAACTCGCGTGTCGGCCTGGTGCACCTAACATTAACATACTTATAACATTTTAACATTATAAACATTTTGTGGAATTTAAATAAACTATTTTAATATTACTTAAACTTTATAATTAACCTTACGACAATCTTACCACAGTCACACTCCTCTTATGAATTTATGTAAATATATTAAATTGTTTCAAACGAGTGCATAAACTCTCCATTAAACTTTCTTTATGATTACGCTTACTCAACACGCTCGTTTCTGGTCGTGCGGTATCAATACAGTCCAAATAAGTTTCCGAATCAACAGATGCACATTCAAAATGTTTTGCTCTTTGCTCGTTCCGGTTACTAATACGGCAGTAATTTGCTGACAAGTTTTTTTGTCAGTTTTCACTCGTATTACGGTAATATTGGATTCTGTAACCACGTACATCGTTATGGAGATGATCACGAATACAGAGGGCAGTTATCTCGACAACAGATGCCAATCGAGATCTGGTTACTCTCTTGTTATATTTATTAATATATTATAATTTATTGCAATTACCTTAAACAAGGATTACGAAGGGCGAACTTAATGGCATTATTTCCCAGTCAACCCGGGCCGTGGGGATAAATTGTGGTGGGTGCAATAATAAAGTTCAATTATTTATGTGATTAATTTATACAATATATGGTATGTATATAATATAAATACACGTAGTTGACCTAAGGCCCAGCGAAATAATAAAAAATCATTGAGTGAAAATCTTCATGTCTGAATTTCATTTTCATTCATTTTATTGGCGACAAAAAATTTCTAAAAGATACCATAATGAAAAAGTACATTTTTGGTGAAATGAAAGTATTTTAAGGAATTTATCGCGTTTTAATTTTATTTTTAAGGTAAATTCAAGCATACCAACACTGCTAGACATCAAGATGTCATAAGCGCCTTTTGCTTAGATTGCAATAAAAATAATTAATAAAATAAAGAAATCCAGAGCTAACTCTGACATTGGCTAACCATGAACACTGGAAAGGGCTCGAAACATCTGGAACTTAAAAATCAAATTAACACACGATAAAATCTGTAAAATAGTCTCATTTCACAATTTTCGCGTAAAAAAAAGAAATCAATATAAAAATATTCTTTATAATCGGTTCATAAATGACGGAGTTCTGAAGCCACAAAAATAAAAGACCACAACCGAACACAAAAAAGGAGGTGACAACCTCCTTTTTTTTGAAGTGTGTTAAAGAGAGTTCTATTTTCGAAACCCGTAATGATTTTTAATTTTACAGCTCCAGAAACATTCAGAAACATGTACCTACTATAAGAAGTAATAATACTCCTTTCTACTTTTGTTATTAACACAGTAGAGTAGGTTCAAGTGGGAATCCTATAGGCAATCAGTGAAGACGAACTCCTCGGAACTGCTCCACGCAACCCATCATTAGCGGATAATATATCTATGCCATAAAATATTGTGACAACTGACATGATGATCCCCTCACCAGGAGTGGACCGCTGCTGACTGCGTTCCTGGCGCTATCCCTGCTGTGCCTGGCCTGCGGGAACAGCGCTGCGGTCCTGGCTGCCACTGGGCTGCAGCGGGATGCAATGAGACAGCCACCGCCGCAGACCAGCTTTGAGGTGAGCAGTCCTCGTGAAACTATAAAGATCGGTTAAGATTGCCTTTGTTCAATCAACGCCGCAAATAAGATGTTCAATAATCACAATTTTTTCTATTAAAATTTGTAGAAAAAATGACGAAATAATTTTCGCCGCTGTGGAAATCGAACCAGCGTTTTCAATTCGCGCACAGAACCACTAAGCTTAACGGCTGATTGCCAATCCAACGACAACCTCAACGTCTTATTGCTACGTTGTTTTTTCGCATTAAAAGCAGTGCTCGACGCACCTATTGTATCCTTTACAGCAGGGGTGAGCGAGCAACCTTTTTAATCAATAGGCCAATATAAATTTAAAATTTTTTTGGCGGGCCGCATATAATAATTTACGAAACTTTATTTATAATAAATATTAGAATAATTAAATATAAAATTAAAAAAAAAGTAAAGATTTCATATACAAATTTTAATGCAAGGTAAACAAACAAGAAAAGAACAAAAAACGAACAAAAAAAATTTGGGTTCAGTACGTACTCCCATTTTATTATAATTAATTTTATAACAATATATTGATGAGAGAATATGGGTTCGATAAGATAAATTCAATTTTAGAAATGCTTGGCGGGCCGCATAAACATGATTAACGGGCCGCAAGCGGCCCGCGGGCCACGCGTTGCTCATCCTTGCTTTATAGCATACAAATAATTTCGAATATCGTTTAACAACTATAAGTCGAAGGAGAGAAGTCGCATGTTTCATCTTGTGCAGAGAATGACTGTAGAAAAATTTAGATCTCAATATTTTTTTAATTTGTATACATTCCGTGTATATGTCTAATATCATTTTGACTGTGAGGAGAAAGCAACTCGACCGCACTTTACTTTCATTGACTTTATTACATAACTTTAGCTCCTAGTGTTAAATGAAATGCAAAGCGTATGATAATCTCGCTGATATCCTTCTCGACTTAACAAAGTTTACCGTGAATGAGAGTTTATAAACAATGAACGATAAGTCTCTGCTTAAGGCCTCTCTAAACCAATCACCTATTCACGTCTCAACGTCGTACATTAGTCAAATTAGAGTCATCGGCGTAGATCATGTACGGCGTAGTCGCGGAGTAATAAGCTGGGAGACTAGGGCCACCAACCACACTCGGGCGAAATTCGGATGCTCCCTGGATGTTTTAGGCAACTTAAAATTTTTTAATATTTTTTTATTTATAAGTTGTTGTCGGATTTAAGTTGTGTGTACACGACAACGTCTGTCGGGTTCGCTAGTATTATTATATTATTATATTTTGTCACTTTCTCTCATTATATGACGTAAAGGCACGGTACCGATACTCGATAATTCCATTTACTCCATTAGATACCTACACAAAACGCATTAAGATACAGTTGTAGGCAGCTCTTATAACATGCATAAAGTATTAGAGTATCATAATTTTTTCACGTTCAATTTTGTTTAAGGATTGTCTTTTACTAAAGCTTTAGGATGGTCACCCTGTCGTGAGCGATTACCGTCTTACATCGCTCCATAGAGAGCCTTGACCGGAGCGTGTGGGAACGACTCATTTGCGAGATGAACGTTTGAAAACACGCTCTCAGATGATCAGTTGCTGAGGCCTTCGGAAGCCGAAATAATGTTTATATAATAAATGTATATGATATAAAATAGAATACTTAATAATGTTTTAGGCGATAGTCTTTGCGCTTCGGATGAAAATTACAATGGGTAGATAAATAGTTATTCACCGCTGGTAATGTTGAAACCTTTTTTTTTCCTTGGGAAAAATCCTTTACGGATCCCCTGCCACTGGATCGGGAGAGTGGCGAGGTATGTGGGAGTCCCGAGACGGGTACCCACTAAAAACCCAGGTTGCACTTGTCACTGCCGCATCGGCCGGGGACACCTGAACACGTGGACGCAGTCTTCCGCGACCCTGGCGCGAATATGGCCTTTTGGGCTAGCTCTTCTAAATGGTGCTGTGCCGGTGTGGAAACTTTGCAACCTGCGCCTTCAGTGTGTGAAAGTGTTTGCAGTAAAGGAACACTAGATGGCGCATTGCTAAAAATGAAATAATAAAAAAATGGATAAAAATTCTAGATTGTCCAGATTGTTGCCAGAGCGTCTGAGCGCCTAAATAAGATGGTTCGAAACCTAGCAACGGCGAAAATTTTTTTCGATATGTTCTTTATCACGAATTTTAAATAGAATTAACGTTAACACGTCCTAAATTTTGTACGGTTGCAAAGTATCAAGATTTGAATATGTTTTCTGAAAAGACAATTTTTACGTCGTTATTAACTCATTATCCTCTGTTGCGTGGATATGAATATTTTATAAACTGAATATCGATGTTCGTAGTATAAATAATAAGAGAGTAATAGAGCTTATATTATATACTCGTAAGTTTGACATTGATCTAAGAAAATATCAATATTTCTTTTACGTATGTCTCTTTTTGGACAACTAATCTATTATTATTATTATTTTCGTTTTTAGCTGCAAATAATTTCTGACGTTTTTATTTGCCTAAATTTAAAATAATTACTTTAAAAAACTTTTAAGTTAAACGGTTTTATTTTATGCTTTTTTTTGTTAATTTTTTTTTGTTAATATTGTATTGTCATCTAAATTAAATGTGTGTACCAAATTCAGATCAATCTGATAACGGCAAGGTGCTTAAATTTCAATTTCTAATTTTGACCCAAATAAATAAACAAACAAATTCCGTACGGGTCGAGCTAAATAAAACCGTTTAAAAAATAGCTTAGGACCGAATACACACCTTTGTCAATTGTCTTTGATCATGTGTAGGAACGATTTTCCTTTCAAAATTCAGCTGTTTAACATATAAAAATATAAAAACCTTTCGACGTAACTTTATAATGGAATCATTAATCCTCGGCTTAATGCATTCGCATAGATTTTTACCGTTGCTATCTGCTAATGTTTTTGTTAAATGCATAACACATAATCCTTACTAATATTATAAAGGCGAAAGTTTGTATATATGGATGGATGTTTGTTACTCTTTCACGCAAATACTACTGAATTGATTTTAATGAAACTTTACAATGATATAGCTTATACACCAGAATAAGACATAGGCTGAAATTTATATACATATTTTATGTATATCCGTCTTTCTGTCTGAATGTTACGCCTTCAGCCTATTCTACGTAGATGTAGTCGCGGGCAGCAGCTAGTTATACCTATTTCTTAAATCATAGGAGTAATAAATTTTGATGAAATTACTAAATAGAGCTAGACGTTAGAAAATTTGATACATTTATTATTACAAAAACATGAGTGTCATATCTACATCTCCCGGGAGTTGTGACAATGTTGGAGCGTTTGGCGAACATATCATTTCGGACAGATGGCGTGATTTGCTACTAGAAACTTCGACTGTTAGCGGTTTGACGATTAATATTTCGTTTTATTGGTGTTACGTGGAAATATAGCTATCTCACGTTTCTTTTCAATGTGCGACAGTAGTAGAGTAAAGTAATGTAACAGCCTGTATATGTTTTATTTGTGGGAAAAGGCCTTCTCTGTATATAGGGTATTTGGGCATAGTCAACATACAGATAGCCCCCCACAATATCTTTCAAATAATTATTTTGTTATAATTTCTAAAATATTCAGGTTTTGTATATGTTCTTTCACCGATGGGGGTGTGATAAGATGGCGCTTAAATTTGCATTTAACAAAGTCATTGGTGTTGGTACCGGGATTTGAACTCAGGTTGCTCGATTATATAATTATTTTGAATTAAAAGCGTGCGGCCAGATACTGAGTTATCACAGCTTTAGAAAGTAGGTGACTTTAGGCAGTAAACGAATATACTAAACTAACTCTAGGAGTAGTCTGAATTTATTCAAGCATCATCAGGGTTAGGGACATCAGAATTTAATTCTAAAAGAAGCAGTGCCAGTATTATAAATTATCCCGTTTCAATCTCTCCGACGCAGTTGCGGCGATCGAGACAACTTGGTATCTAGCTTGTAAATTTTCCGCATATAATTCCTTACGGCCGCGCATGTATCAATTCTCTCATCTGTAAACAAATCTTCGCGCTCGACGGGCTCGAATAGTTACCGTTACCGCAAGCTTGGGAAACGTCTGGCGCGGTACTTAGACCTATTGTCGCGGCACCTGTTAACAGTTTAACGGTTATCTCGTAAACGCTGAGGTTGACTAACAATAGAGCGTTTCGCGGCTAGAACTATACAGTTACTTCTGAACGAATGGGTTGCCAAAGCGCGTTAATTGACGTTGAGTCGCAGTGTTGCTTGATTGATGATCATTTTTTTTCACATTTGCATCGGAATGGTCTCGATTAAACGGGTTCCTTCAGATATTACTGTTCTATTGTTAATAGTGGATAGATCTTTTTATTGTTTCTAAAAGGTGGCGACTGAGTTATTGGTTCTTCTAATAGTAACTCAGGTCCACCGCCCTTCGACACTCACAATACCAGAAATATCAGAGGTGCGTTGACAACCACTGCGAAGGTATCCTTTTTCTGCAATTATTGGACGAAAAGCAAAAAAATTATAACGTTGAGCCTTTTGAATTCTCCTTCAACAGGAACTTTTTATATTCCTTTCTTTCCAAAACTTATATGGAACATTGTTGCAGGATGAAATGCAAGCCTGGACGCCTGTGCTAACGAACATTGCACTGCTCATCATTGCCGCGCTACACTGCCTGGTGTGCGTCGCCAGCATCTACCACCTTTCCAAGAGGGTCTGCTCCTGCTTCCGGCCCAAGCAGCCCTACGACCACAACCAGTTCGACCCCACCTTCAAGGTGCAGCAGTGCGTAATACACGTGGATGAGGTGAAGAAGCCCCACGATCCGGAGAAGACGAGGAACCACGAGCTCTGCAAGGAGCTGGAGATGAAGCTTCAAGGCGAAACGTTGAAGAAGAAGAAAGTAAGCATTTGCTTTCATGATATGCACATTCCTAGCTTAGTTTTACACTCAAGCTCTCTCGCAAACACCTTCATTTTTATATTCTTTTACATATAAGGGAAGTTGTGGAGATTTTTCAATGAAAATTGAAACATTGCATATTATCAGAGGAAAGATATTAAACGGTAAAAATTATTATAAAGGTATAGTTAAGTCCATTCAAAACAGGCTACAACAGGGTATAGAAATTCTCAGCAGACAATAATCAAAACGTTTAAATAAATGTCAAAGTGTTATCCTTACCAACATTAATGTTCTGTCTTAAGTGCAAAGATTAGCACTATAAACAATTTAATTTCTAAGAAGCAATGGCGACACCTCTTGTTCGAATTATTGTTGTAAAACGATATTCGAAATTGTTCGTATGCTGGAAAGGATATAACAATGGATGCGCTAAGCATTGCTTCATAAACAATGTAGATAAAAGACCGTTAACATTTTCGCCGGTGTGGCAATCAGCCGTTTAGCTTAGTGGCTAGAGCGTCAGGCCGCGAATGCCGAAGACGTGGGTTCGATTCCCACAGCGGCGACAATCTTTTCGTACTTTTTCTACATATTTTAACAAAAGCTATCTTATCTAAACGGCTAATGTAAATCCAAGTCAAGTTCTAACTAACTCCTTTGTTTAGGAGGAACCGGAGTTCGGCAGTGCGAATTCCAAGGAGAAGTTGGTGACGCGGTGGCTGGGGCGGCACCAGGCCGTTCTGGCGAGCACCACGCGACGGCGACCAGCCGGCGTGCGGAAGCCCAGGAAGATTCCCAACACACCAGTCGTCCTACTTCCCGCGCACCCGGCTAGCACGGTGAGCATCAACTATTTTTAGGTCACACGAGCTTTTCAAGCTTCAATGTCCACTTAATATCCAGCACCGTGTCCTCGAAGTTAAGAGGTCATGTCTGGACTTTGAAGATTTCAGTATCTTTAAAGTAATTTTAATACCGCTACAATGGAGAATCTTTAACGAGTGTGTAACTTGTTGGTAAGTGGTGTTGTTGAAGATATCCATATTAACCAAGAAAGTAGTAGTAGTTAATGAGTTGCTTATTCATTCTCAATTCGAAGACATTATACTTGTAAGGGTAAACATATTACCAAAAATATGGTAACTTATATCGAGATTTTATTGCAATTATTTATTACAATTAAAAATTCTATTGTTAATGTATGTTATGAAGGTTGCTTATGATTTATGGTGTAATAGTGGAAAAAATTTAGAAGAATATGAGATATTATTAGAGATATTATTCCTCAGTACATTAAGTGCCTGCAAATTAGTGTAGGAAACGTTGACCCTCTAAAAGGGGTAGGATTGCGTCAAGAGAAAGGTGCGGTAGATCGCGTACTAGCAAATTTGCCAATCTCCACGCCTGACCCTTGGCTTCGGATATTGTTGCCGGAGATGTCAAACGTTCCAATTGGCAATGTTACAGAAATACTGTTTCGAAACTGTACAGCACGTATTTGGTTCATTGATGTCGATTTAGTACCTGTGAGGAATAAATTAGTCGCGCGTGGCATTTTTGAAATTGACTGAATGAGGCAATATTCGTTTTGTATACTGGGGCCACAGAGCTTAAAAATTTTTTTTATCATTATTTAATTTGTAAAACATTTTTTTTTTGAATAATGGTATTGCCAGACTTTGTTATGTTCACGTTATTCGTTGGGTTCCAAAATTATTTTCGCCAGTCAATTAATTAAATGATAAAACAGTTAAAAGCTTCATGTTCTGCCATTTAAAGAATTATTTTGATCGTTCTATATTTTCAAACTTTAGACGTTTATGGCACAATAGTACAAGTACGAGCAGCGCATTATATTCCCACTGACAAATCAATCGAAAGACAAAATCGACGTAGAATGCCACAACCGAGTCTCGTAATATTTCTACTTTATCTGTGGTCCTCGCGCTTAAAACTTACGGTATAAACAAACAGGTGGATCACGGAACAGTCTTCACTGTTTCACGAATGGGCAGGTCTGCGCCGGTAAGTACCGCGACCTCACAAAATACCGGCGTGTAGTGGAAGTGTAATACTTCTGCGTTTCGTCGTGTGAGTGAGGCAATGCATCAGCCACCCTACGGGTATTACAAATGTCAATAGGCGGTGGTTATCGTTAACGTTAGGTGAACTGCTAGCTCGCTTGCCACCTTCTCACATAAAAAATCGGAGAACAATTGCGCTAGCTCGATCAGGTGTGTCGAAGGCACGCGATGGAGCATAGGTGCTCGGATCTTTCAGGTATTTTCCGTTCACGCGTCGCAAACGCAGCCAATCGCGAAACCGATCACCGCTAGAGGTCCCGTTGCTCCGTACTCGGCGTAGGCAGCCAGACAATGGGGTGTGGGTTAGGTTCCGCGTGGGGACGCATTCCCCCTGACGGGTTTCGACTCGCTTCGTTGTTCCGCGTTAGCATTAACCAGTATTAGACACGCCTTCGCCGCTCGGAGTTTATTTAATCCAATTTGTTATTGTTTTTTAGACAGAAAAAGAAAAGTAGATTTTGTACCGAGAAAATCTTAAATACGGATTCATTTGGCTTAGATAATATTAAGATTGATAATGTCCATCTGACTACACGCTTCAACTGCATCGGCCAAATCAAACGTTTCAACACCTCACGTGGGGCGCAAGTGCGACAGAGATGGCCGCCCACCCGTCTCTGTTGCACGACGGGGGCATCGCGCAGGAGTACGAGAGCGGAACGCGAAAAAAAACGCCGATAAAACGCGACGGTTGCGCACGCGAGCGACCGGCACGTCCGTCTTGTGTGAATACTTCCGCGGGTGCTCGCAACAGCGGCTACCAAACATTGGCTGGTTTGTTTTTATGTGAGAAAGTGGCAAGTGAGCTGGCGGTTCACCTGACGTTAAGTGATAACCGCCACCCATGGACATTTGCAACACCCGTACGGTTGCAAATGCGTTGCGCCCTCTGAATAAAGTGGGCCCCTGCTGCCTCACTCACCAGACGAAACGCAGAAGTGTAACTGATACTTCTACTTTACGCCAGTCTTCTGTGAGGTCGTGGTACTTACCCGGACAGACCTGCCCATTCGTGCAAGAGTGTTGCGTGGCCCTACCACCGTAAGATTTACCACGGTTACTTTCGTCAATGCCCTTTAGGAAGTGTCTAACATTTGGATCATTTACGGGAAGGGAGAGTAAGGAACCAGCTCTGCATAATGACAGAAAAAATGGCCGCTGACGAAGAACCAAGCTAAGTAAAGATAGCGCATTGTATTTTAGCATACGTTATTCAAAGTAATTCAATCAAATTTCTTTTTTCCATATAGAGGCTCTTATCGACCGTCTCTGCATACAGACAGACAGACTATATGGCCGTCGACCAAGACCAGCCATTGTTTTTTAATGTAGGCTCATATCGAACTTCAAAGTCCTGTCCTGTCCAAAGAAGAACCGGCAAGAAACTCTGCGGTCTTATAATTTTTTTTATATAAAAAAAAAACTTTTTTTAATTCCTTGTCGTCTGTAAACCGAGCCACAAGGGACGTGCTATATAGCTCTTGTTATCCGATATGAAGGCGAATTTATATGGCTCTCTATCCGTATTTCAACACATGTATTCGATTACGGCGCTTCATTAATCGACAATTAACTGAAACAGTTTTATGCCAGCGGCAGCTCGGCTTCCGCGCTTTAATTTCAGTTTGCTGATTCGGATCCCGGTACCGGTACTAATCAAGTCGTGATTGCGATTACAACAGTCGATTTACGACATGGCCGTTCACACGCTAGGAAATGCGCGTTATCTGCAAATAAAAGTAGCTAGCTAACGATGGTTTCAAACTCAAGCAGACCACGCTTCATTAGTTTTAAAAAATGTTGCCTCATTCTTTATGGAATCTAACGACATGTTATGTTATAAACCTATTCCACGCTGCATAGCGCCAAGAACGCGAGCTGCAAAAAAACTAAACCTAAAACTAAACGAGCGAGAAAAGAACTAAACCTTTTGACCGCGGAGTTAAGTCTGAGACTTACCTAACTTTTTCTACACATCGCTGTTTCGTACATAAATACATACATACATACTACAACTGCGGTCACGGGACAAACTGAGATTCTCTCCGCTTCAATGTCTTATTTTCGTAATAAACTCAGACAGAAGTTCTGTAGATTTAACTTTATACTTATTTGGTGAAAATCGTTACTCCGTGCAAATTTTTGACATCATGTTTTTGATATTCTGTTAATACCTGGTTCGCAATATTCCTAAAAGAAATGCATACGTATCTCGTATTGATTATGGCGTCTGTTATTGATTTATATCGGGTCCAAGCTACGAATATTGGTGTGGGCACGGTTATCTGTGGATTACATTATAATTGCTCAGCCTGTGTGTGTGTTTGTGTGTGTGTGTGTGTGTGACAAGGCGGCGCGAGAGGCGAATACACCACAGTGGGCACCTGTCAGGCGGCGGTATGTGGGCCAAGGATGTGTCGTCGACCCCCCAAGCGACACCGAGACACTCGTCGATCAACGCACAATTCACTCTCGCCCCGAATACGCCGATACCGCCGGAACTTTAATGTGCGCATTAATAAGGCGCTCTTAAGACTAAACACTTGATTTGGTTTAGATTGTAGAGAATATATCTTTATATCTCATAGGTGTTTTTAGGGTTCCGGTCCCAAAGGGTCCCGCCCTATTACTGAGACTCCTATGTCTGTCTGTCACCAGGCTGTATTTCATGAACCGTGTTTGTTAACCAGTTGAAATTTTTACAGTTGATGTATTTCTGTTGCCGATATAATAAAAAATACTAAAGAAGAAAGAAATAAAGAAAGACAGATACGTTTATTTGTTTGAATATGGTACAATGTAGGTCTTAAAAGCTGTGGATCCTTTATGTTCTCCCATTTCTGGTGCACAAATATTTCGATTTAGATTAAAAACATGCAAAAGAAAACAAAACAAAAGTAAATATGATCTAGGAAAACTGTTTTTATAAAATTTTATCGTTTAAATAAATATCCCCTGTGGAATATAACATTTACTTATTAAAAAGTTAAACATGTTTCGCTTAAACAATTTTAAATGACTAAAAATAGAATAAAAAAAATATTTAAGGGGAGAGCCCCTCTCATACAATAGACATGACTTTTTTTGCCGTTTTTATAGATACGGAACCCGACTCGCACTTGGCCGGTTTTTAGTTTTTATATCTCAAAGGTAATTCGCCATCAAATTTAAGAGTAATTATTCAAACACCGTTTAAAACTTATAAATGTTATGTATCCGATAGACCAGTAGAGCAAAGGGAAGTTTTAATAAAAAAAAACTTACTGTAAGAAGATTTCACGCAGTTCCACTCCTAGATTTAGAATGAACTCATGAATTTAGAATGATTTAGATGCTAACTCTATGGTTCCACTAGTATTTTTCATCGAAGTTTCTCGCCTATTTTTCACGGGACAGGTATGAGTTTGAAAAACGTTACTGAAACTTGTGAGTGCTTTAATAAGGCTAAATTAAATAACTTTCACTTTGATTGGCTTTGTCGCTGTTCGTGGGCGTAATTCTCATACGGCCGGTTTACTTATTTAAATATATTTTTCGGTTGTATGTCCGTATCCAATTAGTATATGTAAAATAAAGTTCTTTTTTTTTGCGAAAAGTTGCCAAACGAGCAGACGGGTCACCGGATGTTAAGTGAATACCGCCGCCCATGGACACCTGCTACACCCGAGGGTTACAGATGCGTTGACAACCTTTTGAAAATTGGGCTCCGGCTACCTCACTCCCCAGACGAAACGCGAAAGTATTTGTCATAGTTCCACTTTACGCTGGTCTTCTGTGAGTAGACATTTCAAGTACATGTTGCCAAATAGTCTTTCCGATTGGCCAACTACAAACTCTACAAACTGTGGTTGATTCTGTAAAACTTTTAAATAAATAGGATAACCTACACGAGCGCCTAATCTTTATATATATAATTCTTCTGTACGTCTGTATGATCACTGAAATCCTAATCGGCTGGACCGATTTTAATGACATTTTTTGCGTGTCTTCATGTGGATTCGAGAATGGTTTAGATTCACTATTCGTTTTTTTATTTATAAGTTGTTGTCGGATTTAAGTCGCGTAAACAGGACAACGTCTGGTGGTAGTTTATAAGTGTCAACTGAAACTTATTTGTCTGATCTAGTCACGTATGCAAATTTTTATCTTCTAAAATCGTTAATCTGTGCGTTGTCTGTCTGTCTGTGTTATCATATTGTGATGGCAGAGAGATTTTATGTCATGGGAAGGCAAATCTTTCACGCCGTTCATTAAGTAGGGCATCCCCTTGCCAACATTCGCAGTAACTTACGGACCCACAAATTAAGACGGTGTTAGATAGATGGAGGAGACTCGATATTTCGTATGTTTGTAGGCTTAGACCATATGCGCGACGAATAAAGATGCGTGTGCCGGACACTATTTTAGTTTACGTATGCTGGTCGGCTGCCACCTATTGTTGACGCTCCGCTTTGAGGTGTTCTCTCTAACCGTGGGCTCAATCCCCACTTTTGGGCTATTGTCTATAGCCCACTTTCCTACAACGAGAAAGCAAGTTCAATACCACTTGTTGCATGCTCGAGTTTAATAGTAATTAAACAAAAAAAATGTTTCTTCTCAAAAATGTTTTGTTTAAATGCGTTTCTTAAACGGTGGTAGGGCGACGCTGAGGCCTCGGCTGTTGCACGAATGGGCACGCCCGTCCGGTTAAGTACCACGACCTCACAGAAGACCAGCTAAAAGTGGAAGTATGCGTTTGGTCTGGTGAGTGAGGTAGCCGGAGCCCAATTTTCAAAAGGTTGTCAACGCATCCGTAACCCTCGGGTGTGGCAGATGTCCATGGGCGGCGGTATTCACTTAACATCAGGTGAACCGTCTGCTCGTTTGACAACTTTTCGCATTAAATAAATAAATAAATACAAACCGTACCTCACGTTTTTAAGCGAGAATGTGACAAACGTGCTGGCAGGTCACCTGATGTTAAGTTATAACCGTCGCCCATGGACCCTTCCAACACCCGTGGGGTTGTAGATGCGTTGCAAACGTTCAGTAAAGTGGGCCCCGGCTACCACACTAACCAGACGATACGTAAAAGTATAACATGTGAAAATTTTAGACCGTTTCAGATACTTGCAATTGAGTAACAATGTAATCATATTTGGTACAATAGCAATTTTGTTAAAAGTACAAACAAACGTTTTAAGAAGCTAGGGTATTATTGTTACGAGCTGCTACACTATTAAACAAAAACGGCAGTTAAATAAAATCATAAATTTAAGAAATTTATTCTAATAATTTTAAAATTAATTTATTTTTAACTAGCTGACCCAGCAAACGTTGTTTTGCCATATAAATTATTTCTAGGGAAATTTGTGAATCCGAATACATAGAAAAAGAATTTTCGGAACGCACGCGTAAAATGTTTGACAGGTAGGAACAGTTTTTATGGGAAAATAAAATTGTTGCTATTTCGATTTTCCATGCAATTTTTCCATAATTTGTCATCGTTCAAACCTTCCCTGGACTACCACAAATATTTCAAAACCAAAATTAGCCAAATTGGTCCAGCCGTTCTCGAGTTTTAGCGAGACTAACGAACAGCAATTTATTTTTATATATATATATATATAGGTACATTGAATTCGAGTACAAGTAAGTAGTCTATTCCAAAGTTGGATGCGAGAGCGTGCGTTGATGGGAGCGTTGCCATGGCAACTGGAGCGAGTTAAAATTATGGCGTGGAAAATATTAATGATGATTGAAGAAATGCATCTCCGGGAAGTTTCTACACAATTGCTGCGCGGACCGCGATGGAAACCGGACAGCGTTTTAAGTAACTGGTCGCAATTAAAACAGTGTGCGAGTAAAGATGTCTTTTATTGTTGGCGGTGGCGAGGACTGTATGAATCACTACATAGTATAAAACAAAGTCGGCCTGCTGACTGTCTGTCACTATGTATGCTTAGATCTTTAAAACTACGCAACGGATCGTGATGCGGTTTTTTTTACTAAATAGAGTGGTTCAAGAGGAAGGTTTATGTATTATACATTGTACCCGTGCGAAGCCGGGGCAGGTCGCTAGTGTTTACATAAATCCATTTGCCAAGTTTTTGCTGCCGCTCCTTTAAATATTTTTACTGGGTTCAAGTAGTTTGAAAAAAGATTGCGAAGATCATTTTCGTATCACCACGTTTGAAATAATATCGTGGTGCTAAAGATTAAACAAAAACCTATTTTTCTCGTCGTATTTACGGTATTTTTTGATTGAATATCCAGTTCCTAATAAAGAGATCAGCCTGACTTTAGGGACAAAAAAATAAACTTGCTCACATATTATATCAAGCTACGATGAGGTAGGCAAGTATAAGCACCAATCGATTGTCAAATTTGACAGTAAGTTTAAAGAATACCGAGGCAAAGTGTTAGAGACGAAATCATGTACATACATAGGATTTAGCTTAAACTGCGATTCAAGCCGCTAGTCATTGGTTTATGTAAAAATATTTTTTTCTGTGTTTGCCATCACAAAAAAATATAAGCTATTGTGATTATCCGTCAAGCGATTGTCACTAATTCCGATTCCGAATTTGAGCGCTGTGAAAAATTGGCGCGAACTGATCGCATACAACTCCTCTCTGTATAAGGTAACATCATCAACAAATGACGTCTTAGGAGTAATCACAAACAAAAACTCAGGGCCGCCCGGCCCCTGGTTAAATACCATAGACAAGCATTAGTCTAATGACGAACGCTCTGGCGGGAAAGCTCGCAATTAGCCGCACTCAAACGCACCGCCGCAATTTAAGTGATATCCACATTTATAAACACGATGAGGGGTATAAAAATTAGCAGTTTGCAAACGCGAGTGCCAATAGTTTATTCAATATTAGCTTACAAACCGAAAAAACATCAAGTACTGATTCGGTAGCCATAGAGTATACAACTAAAAGATAATTAAGTGTACCAATCTTTGAGTTGAATATCTTTAAGTAGAGTACGTCTCTCGGTTCGTGAACGTTTAACGCGTAGTTGTTGCGAACGAACGACGGAAAGCGAATTGGCAGTGCATCTGGGTTGTCCTGCTTGTTAAATCTGGGTTGAGCTGAATTAAAGTGTCCTTTCCCTGCTCGCCGTCGTCAATCGGGGCTCACGCAACTGGCACGGTTGGCAAGCGCCACGGCGTCGGTGCCCTCGGCGACGCGGCTGCGTAACGAGGCGCGTGTCGCGATGGCGGGAAATCGAGGCGGCCATTTTGAATGAAAACGCGCGAATCCGTTTCGCACATAACCTTTTATTTTCTCGACACTTACTTACTTATAGATAACGTCTGGATGGTAAATGATATTGATCATTATATTTGACATCGAACTGTTACTGTTACTTAGACCATTATCAGGAGTCTTTTCACTGCATTAATCTGATGATAAATGGTCGAGTATGGGGGATCAGAGACGTAATGAGGTACCAGACGCCCCATATTGTTAAATAGTTATTACCGCGTATAGAAATGTCCCATTAAACAGCA